GAAAAATTATCGTTGAACTTTTAAAAGGTAAGCTTAACTATTAATGCAATGCTTAAATGCAGATATCAATTTTGAGTTCTGTAGTTTATTGTTGCCTATTGTCTACGGCAGCAATATAACTCGCAAAAAGAAATCTTCGCCAACAAAGGACCAGATTGCAACCAAAACAGGAGTAAAAGAAAGTTTGGGTAAATGAAAACCCAGATCAAATGGCCGTCAGGAGACTTTCCAATGCTGAGAATATGCGAAAACTTAGGGACTCTCAAACTCTTGAACAAGCCGAAGGCCCAATTAAGAGATCTTCACAAGAGCTATCTCAATTGACGCCTGATAGGGCGGCTATTAATCTATTACTTTTATAAAGATTTACAGAAATTCGAAATGGCTTATAGCCAGTTTGAGGCTATTATCATTAGGTAACTAGGGCTGGTTGATTTTTCAATTCTTTTGAAAATCAACATTGCACCCAGTGTGAAAGATGGGGTATGACGTGATATATAATGACACCAAAAATTAGATTCATAGCTTTTATCAGTGTTTGAGTATTTACTTTTTAAGATTGTCTGAAAAAATGTACAGAAATATCTAATTTCCGTATGTTTTTGCTTATGAACTGAGTTCAAAATGTTATTATTTCAAGAATAAATCCAAATAAATTTGATATCTTTTGCATTAGATACATTGAATGGAAAATATATTAAAACCAGAATTCTAATTAAGAATCACCGCATACTATGCATTTTTACTGTATTCGATTACTAAAAACTGTGTAAAAAATTGTAAAAGATTACAAAAAGGTTACTCTATCAAATAAAATTGTTAGATCGTTTGTTAGATGATAATTAATAATAGTAATAATAATAATAAAAAAGAGATAAATGTGTATATAACACAATAATACTGCTAGGAACAAATTATAAGACAAAAATGTTTTAAATTTGGATTGTTTATTAAAAATCACACTAAAATTACTGCACTGTATAACAGTTAAATTATTCAGTATAATTTCCCTTTGGAGTAAATAAGGTTTTTATTTGATGGCACAATAATTTAGTAATAATGTGCTTGTGTCATGCATCCTGTCCATTTACAGTTTGTTAAGCTAAAGTAAATAAAAATTCCTATAAGGCCGGGCTATAAGGCTTTCACTGATCACAGGAATAAAATTCCAACGATACGATTTTGAACCTAAATTGAAACATTTAAACTGATTTCGTCAAACAACGTTAACGATTTGGAAAAATATTTTGGGTCCTTCTTTATCATTTCAAACCGCATTTTCAAATTGAGTTCAATTTACAGTTCCTAAATCGACCTGCCGTAATGGCCGTATCACGTTGAATCATCGGTACGATTGTCAAAGCAATGCCGAACCTGGACAGTATCTGGTATCAATATACGAATAGTGCGTTATAGATGGATGCCCGCTTGGGATTACAAAGTGCGATGTTGAAAATGTATAACAGCTAGGTGAGCCGATTTCCAATTCCACTCGAGTTCGATATATTCACTTGCGAACAAATACTATTGGGAAGTACACGAATTCTCTCCTTCTCCCCCAGTTACGGGTTAATTAGTAGTACGTGTATCAATAACTAATTATTATTTCCAAAGAATTATTACAATCTAAATCTATTTTCTGGTTTTAAATAACTTGCAAAAGGTTGATAAGCCGTAAAAAAAACCTAATCAATCAATACAGTGAGTTCCCCATATTCACGGGGTTTAGGGACCAGTACCGACTGCGAATAGTTAGAATTCGCGAATACTTGTAACCCCCACTAAAAGTGCTGATAAGTACCTATTTTGATTGTTAAAACTCAATATACCTTAAACTTTCATCCTAAACACTTTAGAAACATTTCAGACCTTTTAAAAACATTTTTGAAAAATAATATTGGTGATTATACACTTAGCATAAATTTTCATTCATACGTACAATAACCGTTTTTAATTACGTAGAGATCAATACAACCATTGAAAATACTGTATAAAATATGTTTAACAAGACATAAAATATAAAGTATAAAACATTTTTTTTAAAAACAGAACTGTAATGATGCCCCCAAACTTGGCATAAGCCGATTTTAAGACCCCAGCCACAGTCCAAGCACTACGCATGGTTTTGCTTTTGATTTTTACAATAAAGATGTACAATTCTGCCAAGTTTTACCTTAAAAATGGACTGTTATATGTTTTATGTCACTCAAATAACAGAAAAATAATAAGAATATTTTAAATATGTTCCATCGAAAAAATACGCGACTCGAGGGAGTTCTCAGCGATTAATTTATACATATGTTCTTCATAAAAAAACAAAACAAAAAAAAACGCGAATATTAGGGATTGCCGCTACTAACAAGTACATATGTTCTGAAGAAAATTCCACGAATGTGTAAAGCCGCGAATGAGTGAGACCCCGCGAATAGGCTATACAGTGAGCACGCGCGAATAGGCTATACAGTGAGCACGCGCGAATAGGCTATACAGTGAGCACCCGCGAATAGGCTGTGGCTCACTGTATAGCCAGTTTTACAGAAATAAAACCTGCAAACACTTTTACAGAAAATACAGCTTTTACAAAGCTTTACCAAAGATAAGGCATATTTTACCGAAAACAAGAATATTTAATTTCCACTCAAGTCGAAATGTTTTTGTTTCTGTAGAGCTATGCTCTTTCTTATTAAAATACGCAGACATTTTAGCAGAAGGTTTGTCAATAAAGCGCAATTGTTCACCTCTGGAAAAGGTAATATATTGAACTGGTTCATAAAACTAACAAAGATTTACAGCGTAGTAATTGGTTTTAGCGGCTGGCACCTTTGCAGTTTGGGCTCACAGCCTATCTTACGTTCGAGCAAGAATAATGGGCTGCAAAAAATAGTGCACTCATTTATCACGAAGATGAAAAGGTCAGAGGATAAATGAGTTTGCAGAAAAGAGATTGACAAGTTTGAAAGTAACCATAAAATACTGGCAAATTTCTCTGTTCTGGAGAAATGATGCGAGAATTAGAGAACTTGTAGGAAAGTTTAGCAAAACTTTTTGAAGTGAATAATAATAATAATAATAATAATAAGAAGAAGAAGAAGAAGAAGAAGAAAAAGAAGAAGAAGAAGAAGAAGTAGAAGAAGAAAAAGAAGTGAAGGAACCGGAGTCAGGATTATATTCCGTATACTTGATTTATCATTGCTATCAATTATCTCTTGTCGCTTTTGATCAGGCTTTGGATCCAATTTACGTCTTGTGCGATTTGCATCGCTTTTATTTTCTTCCCACTTTCTCTATTTCAGTTCTGTTTGTTTCTTTTCATCTTTCTTCTTCTTCACCCTCTCGTCTTTTGATGATATTTATTGAGGGATAGAGAGAGAGAGAGAGAGAGAGAGAGAGAGAGAGAGAGAGGAGAGAGAGAGAGAGAGAGAGAGAGTCAAACGGAGAGAAACAACAGAGACAGAACCAACCGAGACAGGGAAGTAAATAAATACAGTTGAATTATATTCACCACCGTTTATCTCAGTGATTAAGTCTTTTTTTCTTTTTATATTCTCCATCTATATTTCATTCTCAGTTTTCTTTCTTTATATATCTATGTATTTTTATGTATTTTTCATTCTCTTTTCTTTTTTTTATATATCTAACTATGCATTCTCCACGTAGTTTTCATTCTCCGTTTTCTTTATTTATATTTCTATATATTCTTCATATATTTTTCATTCTCAATTTTCTTTCTTTATATTTCTATATATTTTTCATATATTTTTCATTCTCAATTTTCTTTCTTTATATTTCTATATATTTTTCATATATTTTTCATTCTCAATTATCTTTCTTTATATTTCTATATATTCTTCATATATTTTTCATTCTCAATTATCTTTCTTTATATTTCTATATATTCTTAATACATTTTCATTCTCACTTTTCTTTTTTTATATTCTATATATTCTTAATATATTTTCATTCTCAATTTTCTTTCTTTATATTTCTATATATTCTTCATAGATTTTTTCATTCTCAATTCATTTTCTTTGTATTTCTATATATTCTTTATATATTTTTCTTTTTCAATTATCTTTCTTTATGTTTCTATATATTCTTCATATATTTTTCATTCTCAATTATCTTTCTTTATATTTTTATATATTCTTAATATAGTTTTCATTCTGAATGTTCTTTCTTTATATTTCTATATATTCTTCATATATTTTTCATTCTCAATTTTCTTTCTTTATATTTCTATATATTCTTAATTTAGTTTTCATTCTCAATTTTCTTTCTTTATATTTCTATATATTCTTCATATAGTTTTCATTCTGAATGTTCTTTCTTTATATTTCTATATATTCTTCATATATTTTTATTCTCAATTTTCTTTCTTTATTTTTCTATATATTCTTTATATAGTTTTCATTCTCAATTTTCTTTCTTTATATTTCTATATATTCTTCATATAGTTTTCATTCTCAATTTTCTTTCTTTATATTTCTATATATTCTTAATATAGTTTTCATTCTCAATTTTCTTTCTTTATATACTTATCTAAGTTTTCTCCATAATTTATTTCCAATTTTAATTCATTTTCTTTCATTGTTTAATTTCTCCATAATTTTTTTTTTCATTTTAAATTAATTATTTTTTTCTTCTTTTCTCACCTCATCTCTTTTCTCTTGTGTACAAAATTTAATTCTCTATCGCTCTTCCTTCTTTCATATTTTGCGTCTTTTTCCTATTTTGTTTATTTGTTATAAAATGTTACCTTCTTCACCAATTTCCCTTCGTTCACATAGTTTTCTCTTTGCTGTGTTTACCCATTTCAGTTCCGTTTGTTTCCTTTCATCTTCCATTTTGTGTCTATTTTTTAATTTATCGGCTGACTAATAGAAAAGAAGAACTGTATTTGTTGAGTGAAAGAGAGAGGGGGAGAAAGAGGGAGAGGGAGAAAGTGAGAGATAATAAAGAAAATTTAGTTAGATTATTATAATCACTCTATATCTCAATAAATGCTCTTTCTTTCGCTATCATTTTTGTTTTTCAGCTATTTATTTCTCTTTCTTTCTTTTTCAATTCTTTATTTCTCTTTCTTTCTTTATTCCTTTCTTCCTTTCTCAATCATTTGTCTTTTCCATTATTTTATTTTTCTTTCTTTCTTTTTTTTTCTTAATTATTTGTCCTTTTCAACCATTTATTTCTATTCCCTTCATTGTCAATCGTATATTTCTCTTTCTTTTTTCTTTCTTTCTTTCTTTTCAATTTTACTTTTCTTTCTTCTCAATCATTTGATTTTTCAGTCACTTGTCTTTTTCAATCTTTCTTTCTTTCTTTCTTTCTTTCTTTCTTTCTTTCTTTCTTTCTTTCTTTCCCAAACATTTGCCTTTTGCAATGGTTCTTTTTTCTAGCATGTATTTCTCTTTGTTTGTTAGTTTGTTTGTTTGTTTGTTTGTTTGTTTGTTTCTTTCTTTCTTTCTTTCTTTCTTTCTTTCTTAATCATTTGTCCTTTTCAATCATTTATTTCTATTCCCTTCATTGTCAATCGTATATTTCTCTTTCTTCTTTCTTTCTTTCGTTCTTTCTTTCTTTCTTTTCAATTTTACTTTTCTTTCTTCTCAATCATTTGATTTTTCAGTCACTTGTCTTTTTCAATCTTTCTTTCTTTCTTTCTTTCTTTCTTTCTTTCTTTCTTTCTTTCCCAAACATTTGCCTTTTGCAATGGTTCTTTTTTCTAGCATTTATTTCTCTTTGTTTGTTAGTTTGTTTGTTTGTTTGTTTCTTTCTTTCTTTCTTAATTATTTGTCCTTTTCAACCATTTATTTCTATTCCCTTCATTGTCAATCGTATATTTCTCTTTCTTCTTTCTTTCTTTCTTTCCTTCTTTCTTTCTTTGCAATTTTACTTTTCTTTCTTCTCAATCATTTGATTTTTCAGTCACTTGTCTTTTTCAATCTTTCTTTCTTTCTTTCTTTCTTTCTTTCTTTCTTTCTTTCTTTCTTTCTTTCTTTCTTTCCCAATCATTTGCCTTTTGCAATCATTTTATTTTTCTTTCTTTTTTATAGCATTTATTTCTCTTTGTTTGTTTGTTTTTTCTTTCTTTCTTTCTTTCTTTCTTTCTTTCTTTCTTTCTTTCTTTCTTTCTTTCTTTCTTTCTTTCTTTCGTTTGTATATCTGATCTCCTTTATTTTTCAATTTGTCTATAATTCAATATTCTCCCCTTGCCTTCAGATTCTACATCTTATGAAGTTCTACATTCTTTCATGTTTTTCGCCATTTCTCCTATTTGCTTAAAAATAATTATCATCCTAAGTTCAATGTCATTCCGATAATTTCCTCTTTTTCTTTATCCACCTCCTCCCATTATTCTGCCCTTTAATATTTCTTCCTTCTCGTTTACATTTCTTTTTCAACTTCTCTTTTTTATTTCCTTCTCCCTCTTTTTTTCATTTATTATTTCTCATTTTATATCCTGTTTTCCCACTTTAAAAACTTTGCACTTTCTTTCTTTTCCTCGATATTAGTTATTTTTCCGCTACCGTAATCGCAGTTATCATTAAGTTACTCCACTGATCAAATTGACGGATTGATGTTCCTACACATTTACTTTTGATCATTCAGAATTTGAAAACGCTTCCGTTCATTAGTGTATGCTTTAGCGCCTCCCCTGGCGACCAAAGAACACGATTTCAAGATATAAATAGCAACATTGGTCGTTACAAAAATCTACTTGCTCTACACGATCTCTAAATAGGCTCAAAAATGACGCATGGGAATATTTCCTCTCGTAAATTTTTATGAGGAGATAAACAGAATGATCATTATATTATCGTATTTGACAACATAGAAAATAGACTTTTCTAAGCATTAGAATACTAGAAGTATTAAATCCATGAAGAATAAACATGCTTTCAGCTGGACCGACTCACAAACGACTTACAGTCTGTTGTGAACTGGGGCAAAGAATGGCTTCTTAATTTTAACACCTCTAAAACGAAACTGCTCACTGTTAATCACCTGAGATCCCTCCCCCCACTTCTGTCTACTATCAGCATTGCTGATCTCCAGGAGAGTGACTCGTTGTACTGTTAACATTCACAGCCGACATGAAATAGAAAATATTGAATCTACTGCTAGGTCAATTGCTAAGAAAGTTGGTTCAGTGTGTAATGTTTCTCTCCAGAATCTACCTATCTTCTTCTTTTATGTACTCTGTCCTTTTAGGGCGTAGGCAATCATGGCTCTCCACTTCTCCCTATTCCTTGTAGCTCTCAATAAGTTTTGTCCCTTTTCTACTTCTCCCAGACCCTGTTCTATCATCCACTTGCTTATGCCCGCTACATTACGTGTTGAATTCCCTTGTCTGTCTTTCCCTCTATTCGCTCTGTGAGTATCAGAAAATATCTATAACCTTACCATTTGTTCATGCCGAGAATATTGCTGTCACATTGGGTCCGGTGCTCCTTCTATTTATTTAGAGATTATTGATAAAATCCAAAAGAGATTAAATAATATAATTGGTTCTGATCTGATCTGGTATTTCGGTTTCAGTCACTTTCCCAAGACCTTAAAGTTGCTTTCTTCTGCCTTTTCTACAAATACTTTCATGGAAGTCGCCCGGGAATAAAATTAACAAACTTGTATAAAAGAGCAATTAATGCCCAAATATAAAATTATTGAATTACATGACCGGGCCGCTAACAAGGAAAGTATAATGGTTATAGAATAGCCGAATGCATTCGGGAATAGAAAGCTTAATCAAAGTACATTGTCAGTTGTCTTTAATGAAACAGTTTCTTTTTCTTTTCTCTCCCACAATCTTTTCCACCTCCTCATCCTACCACTCCCATTACAAGTGTATTTATGAATAGGTTTTGAAAAGAATCCATCTCGGCAGAAACGGTGGTTTCATGTAGATCAATGTTTCTGATATATATATATATATATATATATATATATATATATATATATAGTAAAAATCTGTTGGTATAATCCAGGTGAATCCTATTAATATAACATAGAATTTGAAATATTTTTATACTGACTCACAAAAGAGCGCTCTATGTACATTTTCAATAAACAGACCAAATTTTCTTTTCAGTTGGAATTACTATACTTTTAGTAAATGACCATTTTCAGCTACCTCTAGGTAGATGAAAATGGTTATTTAATAAAAGGTATCGTAATTTCAATTGTATATATATATATATATATATATATATATATATATATATATATATATATATATATATATATATATATATATATATTTATTTAAAATATGATTCCAAATCGCTACATAAGAGGTCTCATGTTATTTACCTAACCAGTTCCTTCCTATTTTCTATATATTTTCACACACACACACACACACACATATATATATATATATATATATATATATATATATATATATATATATATTTATATTGGATTGATGTGTGTTTGTGACACTGGGTTTCACGCTTTTGCGATCGTTAGACAAACTGATTAATTTATGTTTGCGTTAACACGATGGCATCACGACGACGATTCCCCCTACTCCCATAATAACACCAATACACGCAATCTGCATAAACCCCAAATTTTAAAAAAATTAATCAGTTTGTCTGACGATCGCAAAAAGCGTGAAGCCCAGGGTCACAAACTCACATCAATCCAACCAAATATGTCAGCTCTATCTCTCATATTGAGCGCTTTCTAATAAGTACCGCGCATATAATATATAAATAATTATATATATATATATATATATATATATATATATATATATATATATATATATACTCACTTCCCCCATATATATATATATATATATATATATATATATATGTGTGTGTGGGGGGTATATGTCAAATGAAAAAAATCTACTGTTTTTTCAATTATTAAATGAAAACTATTGTCAGAAATTGTGACCTGTTCAATCGGTAAAAGTAAATGGCAAACTGAATTAGTGAAAAGAAAACGACAAAAGAAATATCTTATATATTTTCTTTTGTAATTGGTAAAATAAAATATATGGTCAAATCAATTGGTAAAAGAAAATATATGGTCAAATTAAGTGATACAAGAAATTATATGAACAACTGAATTGGTACAACAAAATGTATAGCTAACTCAATTGTTACAAGAATATGTATGACCAACTCAAATGGTAAAAGAAAATATATGGTCAACCCAAATAGTACAAAAAATATATGAACAATTCACTTGGTACAAGAAAATATATGACTAACTCACTTGGTACAAGAAAATATATGACTAACTCACATGGTACAAGAAAATATATGATCAACTCAATTGGTACAAGAAAATGTAATATCAAATCAATTAGTGTAAGCAAATATATGACCAACTCAGTTAGTACAAGAAAATATATAGTCAACTCAATTGGTACAAAAAATTAAATGACCAAGTCAATTAATAAAAGAAAACTTGGAATAGAAAAAGAATGCAAAAATTTTACTAAGAAAAGAAAACAAAATACTATTATCCTCATATTGTCACAATATTTCTACCTTTCCTCATGTATCAGGTGATTGTCGAGCTGACAATTTTGAACTGAACACTTTATTTAATTTACGAGGGTAGATTGTTCCTATTCCTTTGAACGATATTTTATTTACTACTGTTCACAAACAGAATTCATAATTGCTATGTCACCAAATACATGGACTGTTGCTTGAATCCATTATTATCCCGTGGGACTAAAAGATCCAACTGAAAAAGAGCGGTCCATGAAATAACAGCATCCTTGGAAAACACCAGAAGACAAATAGGAAGACGAAGAGAGCCCAAAGGAAAGCCAGAACTCTCCATCCCCTGAACGCTCCCACCCTACCATGCGGTGGATTTAGACGTCTCTTCAGATCCAACGTAGACCCGATTTAACACAGAAGGAAATGTCGATGAGAGCCCCAATACTGGACGACGTGTTCCGCTAACGACGACGATCCCGTGGGACAATTCTGAGTGGAGAACTTTGCCCTTAAACTTAATCTGTCTGTAGAAGTATGCTGCTGGTGCTGCAAGCCATGCTTGACTGCACTCGTCGAGGTTTCTCTCCTGCTGCTGTTGACGCCTTGTTGTAATTTTTCTTTCTTTCTTTAATAACAGATCGCATTTATTTCTATGCTTATAAGGAGGTTCTCCTAACTGAGCATCGGCACTGATTTCTTGGAGATGTTTTTTTTTCTCGCCAAGCAAACATTCCCTTTATTAATTACGTCATGTCACTCATGGGTTCATCTGATGGCAGACACATCTTAGTTACATAAAACTATATATTTTTTACCGAGGGTTTCTTTTTTGTGTGTGTATGTGTGTGTGTGTATCAAGCAAAAAAGTCACGTTAATGTTCGTTTTGTTTTGCCTTTTAGTTTAAGATAAATCTGGATAAATTATTATGAACTATATGTGTAAGTGTATGTGTGTGCGAGAGTTTATGTGTGTATGTTGCCCCTCTCCTAGCAAAAAACAAAAAAAACAAAACGCCCCCTCCTAGCAAAAAACAAAAAAAAAAAACAAATACAAAAAAAAACAAGAGAAAACAACAACAACAAAAAAAACAACGAACAAACAATATCGTGGTATGTTCAGAGAACAAACAACTGTCATTCAGCTGCGAAGGATTTTTGAGGACCGAACTTTTTTTTATGCATAGCTGCATTAAAAAAGATACACCAGTTGAATAAAGTGAATGGTTCCCTTTTTTCTTTCCTTGTTTTTTTGAAGCGACGTTCTGAGACAAAACTTCAATATTTATCTTTCGTCGCGGAAGAAAGGAAATATTAAACTTCTAATTTATTTTCTTCTGAACCTGCCAATGTTTCACCTGCGCAAAGTAAGCAAGCCATATATTTCTTGGAGATTTCAAACTGTCATTAGTTTTTTTTCTCGACAAGCAGAAATTCCCTTTTATTAATTACGTCATACGTTCATCTAATGCGTTCATCTTAGTTACATAAAACTATATTTTTTTCCCGACGCCTTCCTTTTTAGAAAGTCATAAGTAGGAACTTAAAACTCATGAAGCTTAAACGTTCTATAATCATTTTTAGACAGCAAATGTTATTATATAATAGATTCCTATCTATGGAAGTAAATCAATAACTAGAGCTTAATGATAAATTAAATTTACGCAGTTCGCACATTAATATTTATTTTCAATATAATCGCCTTCTTGCTAAATAAAATTAATTCAACATTTTTAATAAGAAAAATTTCTTCCCACATTTATTTCTTTATAAATTGGAAATAATGATTTTTTATTATAGGTAAATAATAAACATCGCATTGTACTTGATTATTAAACGTTGTGATAACAACAACAAAGATGCTGACAAAAGTCCTAGCATAAATAGTGTAAGTAGTGTAAACATTCATCTAGGAATCCATATAACTCTTCACCCAGGAATTCGGACAGAAATTATATAATATATAGTATTCTTTTGTCTCCACGAGTAAAAGCGTTGTGATAATAAAAACAAAGATGAGGACAACAGCTTGAATATAAGTAAGATAATAAAAAGACAACTCAGAAATTTAGGAAGGAAAGAATGAAAACACTAATTAAAAATAAATTTGAGCAACTGTTTTCGTTTGGCTACAGATTATGTACGTTTATTTTTGGTACATCCAGAAAAATCCACAAAATCCGTTTTAAAAACGAAAAGTCATTAAAAATCTTTGAAATTTAGAGTTATGGAAATAGCATTCTTTGTTTCCGGATTTTTTCTAATTTCTATCTATTTTCTTGCTCTAACCTTAGAATTCCTCACAAAAATGATACGTTATGCGAAAACGACTCGTTAACTGTAGCAGATCCGTATGTATCAAACGCAACTAACTGACAATGTAAAATTAACGGCTCATAAGACGGTTGTGACACCGAAAGATAAACGCTTTTCTGCTTCTTTGACAAAGGCTGGATTTTCTGAGAACAATCGTTAATGATATTCAGGACTTGCTCATTAAAAACGCCCCGGGAACTTTGGCGGGATATAATGGTTATAAAGCTTGTCTCGCAAAGTAGGCTAGATCAATTATGACTATGAAGTGAGTTCGAGCCTCACCGGTTGCCCCACACGTTCGCCCTTACGCAGCATCTAAACTACGGTTTTAAAGTCATTTTGGGCGCTTCGATGTTGTGCAATAGTTAGCAAGCTTGTCTCACTGAAACAGTTACAGCTGAATAGTGAGTTCTATCCTCTCTTAGTACTCTTTATTTTTGGCCTTGTGCAACGTCTACGCTACCCTTAGAAAACAATAACACCCCCTCCCTCCTCATCGTATTTCATATTCCAACACGTGTCCTCAGTAAATGTAAAGTTAATTGTTCATTTATTCTATATGCCACTTACTTTTATTTCTTATTGTTTTGTGCATGTAAAACTGTTATTCTGTATAAAATGTATTTTTGTTAATATTATTCGGCGTTTGGAACGGATTAATTGGATTTAGTCTATTTCTAATGGGAATATTACCTCGGTTTTCGTGCATTTCATTTTCTGGCTATCGGGAACGGATTTGCGGTCGATAACCGAGATCTCACTTTAATTGATATTTATGACTGCATGACGTAAGAAATGTAAAAAACATCGGAAATAATAATCGAAGAAGGTATTTATAATCAGCCGTAAAGATCTGTATTGAAAGTTTAGTTTGCCCAAATATAACGATTTGATTTGGGGAGGTAATAAAACCAAATTTGTGTTACTTATTAAGAATGTTTAGCTTATTCGATCACAAGGTCGCTTCAGGGGAATACGCAGTGAGGAACGAACTTATTGCATCGTCAAATGAGTTTACGAAACCAGGTTTTATGATAATTTCAATTTTCCTTTACAGCAAACTGTAACTATAACAACGTTAGCGCTTAGATTGTCAGCGTATAAACTTGAAAGACAAAACTGCAATCTTTAACAAAGTTGCTTGTTGCTTTTTAAACATTTTCTCTTTTTATCATTGAAGCATTGGCTATTTTTTATCCCATGTTTTTATTAATTTTTTAAATATTGAACTAATTTTTCTTATGATTTATTTTTTCTTTTGTAATTTTTCATTTTTGGCGATTTTTTCTTTTCTTTTTTGTAATACGCGTTATTTTTTTTTACTCTGCCTTCTCTTCGTAACTTGGCTTCTTTTTCGCGCCTTTTCTTTCATTCTTTCTTTCATTCCTTCTTTCTTTCTTTCTTTCTTTCTTCCGGTGTTTTGCTCTTTTTTTCGTCCTTTTTTTCGCTTTTTCTCTTTGCTCTTCTTTTCGCGAATCGATGATTTTTATTCTACGATAGAAACATACGAATAAAAATTGTCTACTCTAAGAAATTATATGAGACGCGAAACATTTTTGATAAAGCAATTTATATATAATACGAACTTGTATAAGTAAAATTGCTGTACCATTCTGTTTTTTATATTTCTTCTTGTCTTTCTTTTTTCTTTCTTTCTTTCTTTCTTTCTTTCTTTCTTTCTTTCTTTCTTTCTTTCTTTCTATACTAGCTGTTATCTTCATTTTACTTTCTTTATATCTTGTACTATTTTCTTTTTCTTTTTTCGAACTTCATTCTGTCTTTCTTTATTTCCTTCATTTTTCACTCTTTTTTTTATTGCTCTCCTCTTTCTTTTCAGCTTTCTTTCTTTTTTCTTTCCCTTTCTTTTTTGGTTTCCTTTTTTACACTCTCCTTTTTCTTCCTTTCACGCTTTCTGTTTTTCTTTCCCGCATTGTTTTACGTTCTTTCTTTCTTTCTTTCTTTCTTTCTTTCTTTCTTTCTTTCTTTCTTTCTTTCTTTCTTTCTTTCTTATGTTTGCTTATTTGTTATTATCTTTCTTTCTCTCTATCTCGATTTTTTCTTTTCTTTATATTACTGTAAAATTTTATTTCGCTCCTTTCATGTTTATACAAATTCAGTCTCAATTAATTTCTTCCCAATAAGCTGAGCATAGAACAGCAACATAAAAAAAGCATAAAAAATAAACTGAGCCGGCGTATTGAATGTTATTAAAGTCGAAATAGGATGATCTTAGTGAAAAACAAACATAAAAAAAAAACATGAATCAAGAACATGGTAAAATTCATTACGATGTACTTAGAACCGAGCAATGTTGGGTCTTTTCAAAGCGGGTGAAACAATTTTGTGCTCATTTCGTAGAAAAATAACAAAAATTCTCATAGATTGGATAAGGCGTATCGAAAGTGTGAAGGCGTTTATTTATGCCAAGACTAAAAAAAAAAACAAACAAACTTATTCTGCAAATGAAATTTAAGATAATTGTTTAAAAAGTGTTCTTCTTTAGAAGAATAAAATATCCTTTCTGAATATATCGATATCAAAAGACGATTGGTGGTTAAGACATGAAAAAATTCTGAAATTGTGTTTGGATTTAAAAAGTTCCAAGTCCTGAAATTTTAATTCAAGTGATTTAAGACTTGAAATTTTGGTCGAAAACAAAACAAATGAAAAAGTTACGAATGATGGCCAGAAATTTCAAACATGGAAAATGTGATTTATTTATAACATTGAGAACAGTGATTAAAGCGCCGGATTTTGTTCAAAGATTTGTCTCTTTAGTATTGTTGTAACTGTTATCACAACGTTTCGGCAAATCCATTTTACAACCTTGGTTTTATAAATTACAAGAAGAGACAAGAAGAACTGGACGAGATATATATTAGCTAGGTTTGAACTTAGTTTCGCAATTCATTATAATTTATGATTATTATTATAGTTATATACACACAGTAAAATATTAGTTTCCCTGTTATGTAGTGTCCCTTCAGGATGCAAGCGATCATGTCTCTTCACGCTTCTAATGCAATGTAGCTCTTAGCAATGTTTATCCTTTTCTCCACGTCCCTGTCAACAGTTTACGCAAGCTCGTTAGGTCCGTTACTCACATTTTTCTGTTTCACTTGCATTCATCGTGTCCTGTGAGTGTCAAATTATCTAAGCCTTGTCTCTTTATCGTGTGTTCTTAAAACTTAATCTGTCTTTTTTTGATTCAAAGTATAATTGTCGATTTTGTTTACATTTGTCCTGAAATTTTTTAGTTGTTCACAAGCTTCGACCATGATAATGTCATTGATTCTTCTGAAAAACCATATTGTCCAGCATTCAGTGCGATATATAAAAATGGAATAGCTTAACAGTTCAGCATTCTTTGTTTCTAAAGAATCTTCCCTGTTTTTTTGTTCTTAGCTGTTGGGAGGCATCCTTCGCTATCCTAACGCGCCTTCGGATTTCGGTGTCATATTTTTCGTCGTCTGTCAAAAGTCTTATTATATATATATATTTGGTTTTGACACTTCCAATTCGTAGCTCGCATCTTGAATGTTTGACATTTTGCTGACAACTATACATTATGTCTTCTTACAATTGATAGTTAGTCCTTTCTTCACACTGACTTTTACCGCCTTGCCTATTAGTTCCTGTAGTGTGCTTTCTGTGTCAGCCATCAACACGGTATCATTTCCATATCATACGTTGTTAAGATTGTGCCCACTTATAATAAACAATAATAATGAGCGGGCAAAGAAGAAAAAAAAAAGAGAAAAGAAGACAACGAAGAAGAAAAAGAAGACAAAGAAAAAGAAAAAGAAAAAATGATGATGATGATGAAGAAGAAGAAAAAGCTTATTATGCAACATTGTAAAATTATTTTGAAATGAAAACAACTGGCGGTAATTTTGTCATGGTTGATATTTAGGTGTGCACACGCACACACAAAGAAATGTACACACACGTATATATATATATATATATATCTATTACGCAATATAATGTGGTTTCATATGCCTACTAAAAATGAATTCTTAAGACTCAACGACAGAAAAACGTAATAATTCATAGTGCTAAATGCCTGATGAAAAAAAACATATATATCGAAATTTGACTGAATTGGCGTCAGTCGTAGATTCTACCACTAAGCCGTCGGCGCACGGCTTATATATATATATATATATATATATATAAAATTTTTCCTTAGTTATCTTTAATGGATATCCATATTTGGGTAGATGCTCTTTTTATTCATATATTAAACTGTTTTTTTTTTATTTATTTTCATGTGAATATTCACGAAATCTTATGAGAAATATATGCCGGTGAGCTCATATTTTAAAAGATTTAATCTGTAAATAAAAACAGCGTACCTATTCAATATGGTTACACATTATAAATAACGTTTAAGCAATTAATTATAATATGTCAGACTAATAAATGAAAAATCTATTCTTAATATATAATGGACTCTCCCGCCGATTTCGACGTATGAGGATCTGACAGCTTCAGTTATGAAAGTTTTTGCGCTAATCTTAAGTGGCATTTAAGACCCGCTAGTGATTTACAAAGGAGGTCACATATGGAGCAAGTGTGAGGATTGTGAGATGAGATCAGTTAGATTTGTTGACCTTTTAGATCTTGCTCTCGCTTCTTGAAGATGGTTCAGACAAGCAGATTGAAAGTTGCTGAGACCCCGTCGCCTTCACTCTCTCGCCAGCGGACCTTGCAAGTGAACTGTGTGGATAAGAACGAATCAAGATAAACCGCCATAAAACCCACACAAGTGATTTGATTAAAGGGGTGAAGGCTCTTAATATATATATATATATATATATATATATATATATATATATGAGATAAAAAGTGGGAAAGTTTACTTGCGACGTATTTCATCTTTCAGGACTTCATCGGACTAATTTTGTTATGTTGGTAGAATTAAACATGCGTACGAGAAAGAGAGGAGTCCTAGGGATTTTAGAATTTTTTTCTCATGCGTATTCAGTTAGAGTAATTTTCTTTTCCTATCACTTTTTTAAATAGGTATTCCATATTTTGATATTAGAATATCTGACAGGAATGGAGTAAGAGTCAGGGCGCAAATTTACTCTAAATGAACTTTGCGATTAAGGCACTTTCTAGATATTTATGTCGTCGTGAATTATTTTCTCCTTTGATCATAGTAGCATTTTTTATATCAAAGTTGTGGCCAGTCTCGTTACGGTGGGCAACGAATGCATTTGATATATTATTTTGTAAAATATCCATTTTGAGTTCTGATAATCTTTTATTTAGATTCCTTGAGGTCTCTCCCATGTATTTTTGTGGCAACGATTACAGGCGATAGAATAAACTCCTCTTTCAGATTTTAGCCTATTGTTTTCTTTAGCATTGACTAAGTATACTATTGTTTTGGTTGTAGTAGTAACGACTTTCATCTTGAGTTTAGATAGATTCTTTTCGATTGTAGATGTGATAGAATTAGTAAGCAGAACAATATATACTTTTTGATTCATTGGGTTTCTCAAGAGGGGCCTTTTTGTGTGCGTTTTGTTTTGAATTGAATATAAAATAATTAGATTACAGGGGAAGATTTTCCCCTTTGTCATAAAATTTCCCCAATACTGTTCTTGATATATAATATCATATATCGTTATCTCATACCGTCAACTTGGAAAAACACCAAATTATTAATACAGAAAGCTCTTAACATCGGCCATTGATGAAAAGTCATTCCACGATGCACACATAAAATTCTCAGAATATCACATTTTTCCAGCATACGCATGCGATTTCCTGAAAGCATCTGCTGAAGAATTAGAAGTAATGGAAAAACTAACTACTAAAAAAACCCAAAACTGCTTGAATGTAACACCATAAAAATACGTTATAACAAAGCCGGAAATGACTGAACTACACAAAACTATCAAACAAATGAGTGACAACCAAAACAACAAACTGAGACAAAAACTCAACGATCTTACGCGAGTTGGATGTTGGAAAGCCCAATTTAATAGAAAATCTATCGGACATAAAGCTTTCCAATACAGATCGAGAAGCCCTCAACTTGGGTTTAATACTTGCCACCGGAATCCTTAAAGGAAATATAGTAGAAACTATAGTAAAAACATCATAAACAAAACGACTCCGATTTCACCAAATGTTTCATTCAAGGCATTCTGCTGCTATAGAAAGCAATAACGAACATACATTACCACTGAGACACCTAAATGCACTAACCTAGCGAGAAATAAATCCGCATTGCTCCCCCTGAAAAGGAAGGGGGCTTGTGATCAAGAACAAGAATACATATATATATATATAAAACTCACAACACAACGATACTGACATATGCGAAAAAAATAAACGAACAAGAAAGAACTACTGAAACACAATAAATTAACAAGGAAATCAGAAAACTAATTAAAAATTATAATAAATCATAGTGCAGACACAGAGAATAACATCCCAAAACACCCACACTTAGTAAACCCCACTAAACTGGTACCCCAATCCGCCCCATTATCTCAGGAATAGACAGCTCCCCACCACAAACTGATGGATGCCCAAACAAAAACTCTAACCCCTCTCCTTGGAACAATCAGTTCCTCCCACATAAAGAACTCAGGCAACCTAGTAGAAAAACTAAGGGAAATGAACATTATCGACAAACGCATGGCCAGCATAGATATAAAATCCCTCTATACTAACGTCCCAGTCGAAAAATGCATAAATCTGCTAAAAAGCATTTAATACAATCAACTATAAAGTTCTTTCTATCAACAGCTAAAATAATCAAAATCTGCCGTCATCACCAGCAGGAGTCACAGTGAGCAAGCACGTAGACTCAGTAAGAAGTCATACAGTGATACGTCGATACCAAAGATTGTATATATATATATATATATATATATATATATATATATATATATATATATATTGCTACTAACCCGCATTCCTGGAACTACTAACCTGCATTACCAGTTTGTATTATTACGTTAATACATTTATTTTCCTATATTCCTTTTTGGCATTTGTTATTTATTGTACCGGATTTCATCTCGGAATCCACAACAATAATGCGTTCGTTGCCCACTGTAACGAGACTGACCACAATTTTGTCATAAAAAATGCTACCATGATCAAAGGAGAAAATAATTC